GGTTTTCTAATCTCTTCTGGAAGAACTCTGGCTCAACCCCCTGTTGGGAGAAGGAGTCACTCTTACTTTAGGGCCAGTATTGAGTCTCCTTTAAGCTCCTTTGGGTCAAGCTGTCATCAAGCCCTGCTGTGCTCACCATCCAACCTTTAACTCTGCCTGAATTGATGCTTTCTTCCCATTTCTGCTGCCTCACCTCATCCCCGACTCCCCGCTTTCGGTGCCAGCCTCTGGATCCATCTACATATAGGACTGCCTGAGCATTCTCATCTCAGCCAGGCACAGAGGCACAGAGCCTTATGGTTAAAACCATGCAGGAACTCAAACATCTTACCACTGTTCCCTTCCTTGGTCCTCCCGTCTGGGTGTTTCTTTGTCAAGGGCAGGCCCTGTGCATCTTTCTCTGCTGTGCTCCCGGCCCAGGTTGGACCCCCAACAGGTCTTCTAGTCAAGCTGCACACAGGAAAGGCTGAACTGCTGAGTCCCCAAATGATGCAGTGTGGCTTTGCGAAGCCCACAGGGTTGGACTTTGCAAACACATTCAAGTTCATTTTTCCTTGGCTTTGCAGAGTTGCCTGTAATTCTCAAACTGTCCCTAATTCAGAACTAGCAATTATGTGAGAAATTTTCAGATGCTTAGAAGTATTCCTATAGATGTGAGGCACAGTCATAACAAGATTAACTTCATCTGGGACTGGAGAGATGGCTCAGTGGTCAAGAGTACTGGCTGCTCCTGCAGAGGACCTGGGTTCAATTCCCAGCACCCACATGGCATTTCACGACTGTCTTTAACTGCAGTTTCAGGGGTTTCGATGATCTCTTCTGGCCTCCACAGCATTGAGCACACATGGTGCACTTACATGCAGGCAATAACACTCATACATGTAAAATAAATAAATAATAAATAAAATTAGATTAACTTCATATGTAGGAACTATTCAATCATAAAAAAAATGCCATTGTGATATGGCACTTATCACTTATCAAATCCCTGTAGATAGCTGAAGAACTTGGTCAGGACTCTCTTAATTTTCAATTAAAAGATTTGCATGATTTATAAGTTGGGAAGGAGATAGGGGCATCACGGGGAGCTGGAGGGAGGTAGTGGTGGATGATATAATCAAAGTATAAATGTATGAAATTTCAAAGAATAAAAGATACTATTTAAAATTTTTAAGATTACCTGATTTAGTTCTTTTGCTTTGAAGTTGAAGGTCTGACTGAGACTTTGGGTGGCCTTCCCCACCCCAGCCTCTCAGCGAGTCTCTCCTGGATGAGATCCCTTCCCTTTCTACCGTCACTTGCCCCTACTTCACACTGGCTTGCCAGCCTGGTCTGCCTTGGTAATCCCTGCAGGGAAGGAATCAGGCGGCCCTTAACAAGAAATCTCAAACTGGGAGGTGAGATTCTTAATATGGAAATCTTTGCTTCTCTGTGAACTTTGAAGAGTCACAGTTAGGTCCCCAGCAGCCCTGTGCACATGAGAAGAGGGTGTCAGACACCTTGAATTTATTCAGTTTCTCAGATTTTAAGATTAAAACAGGTGTTTTAAATGTATATGCCAGTGTGTCTATGTGAGTGTATGCCACATGTGTGCAGGTGCCTGAGCTTGGGTCCTTTGGAAGAGCAAGAAGCACTCCTAACTGCTAATCCATCTCTCCAGACCTTTTTTTTTTTTTTTTTTTTTTTTTTTTTTATTTTTTTTTTTTTAAATTTTGTGTATTTGAGTGTGTCTGAGTGTGGGTTTGCACATGTGAGTGCAATGTCCACAGAGACCAGAAGTTGGCAGCAGATGTGCTGGAGCTGGATTTACAGAGGGCTGTGAACCACACACAGATTTTATTTTTAGCTCAACCTTTTGTGTGCTTAATTGTCATTTTAAGCTTTTGCCTAAGAAAAGTGTCCAGGCTGGGCTTGGTGGGTCATGCCTTTAATCCCAGCACCCCGAAGGCAGAGGCAGGCAGATTTCTGAGTTTGGGGCCAGCCCTGGTCTACACAGGGAGTTCCATGTCAGTTGGGACTATTATGGAGACTCCGTTTCAAAAAAAGAGAAGTGTTCAGAGGCAGGAAAGGTCAACTCCTATGGGAAGCAGTGAGAATGGGGCTTCAGCACTGGCGGGATGCAGCTCTTTCCACACAAACATCTGGATTTTAAATGCTCCCTGGTCTCACATAACCAAGGACAAAGACACTGTCTTCTGGACTTCTGCAGGGAGCCTTGGCTGGGAAAGGCTGTTCAGAAGGTGAAGCACATGAGTAGTAGGTACGAGGGGATTGTTCTTTTAACAGATCTGAAGTTGAACTGTCTTCTAATCTGTAGTGCCTAATACAAAGTTTAGGTGACTCAAATACTGCTGTATTCCATGGTGATGGGGAACAAGAGGGTTAGAGGGGCTGAGATCCAGGAATTGGGACTGCAGGGTGCACTGCAACATTGCTTTGCTAAGTAAGGGGATGGAGTTCACACGCAGGCCTCAGAGATGGGAGCAGGGTCCTGAGCACCAGTTGTGTGCACTGGCCACCTGGCAGAGGGAGGGAGGTGAGTGGACATCAACTCTCATCTTTGGACAGAATCACTTATTTTGCTCCTAATTCTAGTCAGAAATTAGGAGGGAAGATGTAGAAAGGTATGTAGAAGCCCTTTCCTCATAGATGATAATTCAGAAAAGGAACTTTCATGCTTTAAGTGGGGAGGGCAGATTTTTACCAGACCTCCAATCTCATCCTTTACTTTGAGAAATGTAACCCTTTCTCCTTTTACCTCATGAAGCTTAAGTTAGCAGGTGAAAAGATACATACTTTATTCAAGTACCAGATTTTAAAAAGAAATTGAGTGGCATTTTAAAAGGATTAGATGAGTGACTGCACTGAGCCAGATTCTAAGATTTCCAGAAAATTGCTTTCTGTTGTGCAGGTACAAAAGTGTTATGAATACAGCCAGAGTCCGGAATGTATCTTGATAATCAGTGCTTTGGAAATGAGGACCAATCTCTGCCCACCCCAGCCCCAGGTCACAGACGGGAAGCTGTATGTGGAACAAAACTGTCCCTGCTGAGTAAATCCCCCCAGCAAAGGTGGTTGACTGTGTGCCCAGTGCTGGCCCTTTAAGGTTTCCCCCCACTCCCCACCAGTATTCTTTATTCCTATTTTACTACTTTTCTTTCCTACTGTCAAAAGAACCCTCATCTCCATTCCTCAAATTCCTTCACCAGTTTCAGAGGAGGGTCTTAACTACTGAGATTGACACTCATTGTACAGGGCAGGGCCTTAACCTAAAGCCAGAGCTCTGCACAGCTTGGGAACAGGGTCCTGAGCAAACAGCCTATACAGCATTAAATGGGAAGACCTAAGGCGACTCGGAAGTGTGCGTGTGCGTGTGCGTGTACGTGTGCGTGTGCGTGAGTGTGTGTGTGTGTGCGTGTGCGTGTGTGTGTGTGCGTGTGTGTGTGCGTGTGTATGTGTGTGTGTAGTCAGGGGGGGTCTGTGTGGCAGGGCAACATTTGGGGAGCTCTGTAATGCAGCCGTGCGTGTACGTGTGCATGTGCGTGAGTGTGTGTGTGTGTGTGCGTGTGCGTGAGTGTGTGTGTGTGCGTGTGTGTGTGCGTGTGTATGTGTGTGTGTAGTCGGGGGGGGTCTGTGTGGCAGGGCAACATTTGGGGAGCTCTGTAATGCAGCCGTTTGCTACTCAGTATGGATCTATAATGTTAATATATTACAATAGTTATTCAGCTGCAATGGTACCTTCAAAGTGAAGATGGATCTCAACAGCAGGCAGGAGGTGGCTGGAGCACAGTGCTGAGAAGAGTCTAAATTTCCATCCAGTTCCTGGGCAAATACATGAACTTGTGGCAGTGTGGGGGACTGGATGACAGCACGCTGTACTTAGAAAAAATATTTTTTTATTTTATGCATATGAGTGTTTAGCCTGCAGAGGCCAGAAAGGGGTGTTGGAGCCCCTGAAACTGGAGTTATGGACGGTTGCTAACCACTGTTTGGGTGCTGGGAATTGAACCGGCTCTGAAAGAGCAGCCAGTGCTGTTAGGTGCTGAGCCATCTCTCCTGCTCGCTTGATGTATTTGTAATGGGTGAGGCTCAGCGGTTTCCACCTGAAAATAAGGGCAGGTGTGCAACATAGCTGCAGCTCTAGTTACTGAGCCCACTAGTCAGGAGAGAGGTCTGTGGATGTTCTAAGAGAGGAGCCACAGAAGGTCAAGCCTCAGACATTGCAAAAATTGATGTCCACCCAGATCCTGAGAGTGTGACCTAATTTAGAAGCGGGGTTTCTGCAGGTGTAAGTAGTTAAGGATCAAGAGATTAAGTGGGTCCTAAATCCAAAAAGTGTCCCAATGAGAGAGAAAAGGACACAGTGAGGCAGATAAGGGGACAGGACGATGGTGGCAGGTTGGAGCAAAGCTGCCACAAACCACAGAAACCCAAGAGCTGTGAAGAGCTGGAGGGCCAAGGGAGATTCTCCTGTCAAGCTTTCACAGGGACTGAGGTCAACTGACACCTCAAAGTTAGCTTTGGGGCCTTAAGCCCTGGGCACAAACACATTTCTGTTGTTTAAATTCATCAGGTTTGAGATGCTTAGCTGTGTAAGCCCTAGGAGAGTAAAGGAGACGAAAACAGAAATGCATCACTAATACTGGGGTCTGGCTATAGGGGAGGTGATCCTAGCACTTTTACCTGCATCCTAGCCACCTGTGATTAATTCACTGTTATATTATGCCATGGTCCTGGAAGATGGCGATACTGAAATATTTCAACAAACGAACCAGTGATCTTGCCTCATCAGCTTTCCTACCAGCCCCTTTAGAAGGGTGAGTACTGCAGCCTGTCTATTTTCACTGACTTTTAAAACTGACATTTTAAAACTAAGAAGCTGACCCATTCTTCTTGAGACTCCATTAAGACATCTGGTTAGCCCATAGATGGGCCAAATCACCTCATAACTTCAATGACCACAAAATTCTTAGAGCGGGGACTATAGTTAATGGAAATACCTGAAGCATTAAACTCTCTGGCCAGTTGAATATTTGCAAGTTGAAAATCTGTCCAAAGTGAACTCGGAAGTCTGCCCCTAGCTGCCGGGTGACTGTCCTAGACACCTCCTTGCCGTTGAAGAGCACCTTCAAGTACACAGAGCGCCTCTTGACGTCTTCCCTCCGTGAGACCTCCACCCTGCAAGGTGAGACCATTCGAAGCTAAATTAGTGTTCACTTACACAGCAACAACTCTGTGGCGTATGTTAGCCACCATTTAACCCAAACAGCCACACATCTTACAGAGCTTGCTGTGATAAAATATTGTAAAATGGAACTTATGGAGAAGCCATTGACAGGCACTGCAGAGGGCACCAGGGACTCAGAACGATGGTCTAGTCACAGTTGCTTAACAGTTTCCTCGGTTTTCTCAAGAGCCTTATGTTGACATACAAGGTTTTCAGAAAACATATTCCTTGTTAAATGAAATTAATTCAGGGCTGGAGAGAGTGCTCAGTGGTTAAGAGCACTTGCTCTTCCAGAGGACCTGAGTCTGATTCCTACACCTATGCCAGGTAGTTAGTTCACTACTGCCTGCAACTCCAGCTCCAAGGAATTTGACTTCCTCATCTGGCCTCCAGGGTCACCTGCACACACATGGCATATACACATAGACATACACACATACACATAAACCAAAATTCTAAGAAAGGGAATTAATTCAGACCACATGGAACAGTAGTCACTTATGCTTAACTAATGAGTTTTACACAGAAAATATAGGAGCACATTGTAGCAGTTAGAGCGGGCCTTTCCCCTTAAGAGCTAAGTTTTTTCTTTAATGTTTTCATAGAGACTCCTCAGAGGATGCAGGTTATTGAGAAATATTTCTTTTATTTATTGATTGATTGAGCTTTATGTGAATGAGTGTTTTACCTGCATGTATGTAAGTGCACCCCTGTGTGCAATGCTCATGGAAGTCAGAAGGGGGCATTGGATACCCTGGAACTGGAGTTACTGATGGTTGTTAGCTGCCATGTAGGTGCTGGAAATGGAACCATCTATCTAGTCTCATTTCATTTAAAGAACATTTGAATCACAATATAGTGTATTCTGGCACTTTGAGAGAGTTGAAGCACGATAATCTTATAGCCAGAAAGTGAGGGGACAAAAGGTCAAACCCATAAGGGGAGCTCTGATTATTTGCAGAGATACTGCCAAAGCATGCTTGACAATAGCAGTTACAGCTTGCTGACAAAAGGAAAAAGTTAGACTATTAAAATTAAAATGAACACTGGTTTTGTGGGTAATAGTACATCAGTTAAATTTTATTATGTTAAAAAATATAAAACATAACTTTTTTGTTGTTTTTCTTTGAGACCGGGTTCAGGTAGCCCAGGTTGACTTTGAACTCTGCCTTTACCTCCCAAATACTTGGATTACAGGTGGGAATCACCATGTCCAGCCATTTTAACTATTTTAACTTAAAAAATAATTGTGTATGAGTGCATTGCCTGCATGTATATAAGTGCACCTGTGTCGTGCAAAGCCTGCAGAGGGCCAGAAGAGGGTTTTGGACCCTGTGGAACTGGAGTTACAGATAGTTGTTAGCCATCATGTGGAAGCTGGGAACTGAACTTGGGTCCTTTGCAAGAGCAGCCAGTGCTCTTAACCACTGAGCCATCTCTCCAGCCCCCAATTTTAACTATTTTTCGATCTACATTTCAGTGGCATTAAATACACTCCTGTGTGAAGGTCACTACTACATATTTCCAGCACATTTGGATCATTCCAAAAACAAATTCTCTTGTCATTAAGGTGGCAGTTTTAACTGTTTGTATCTCTACAATCTAGACCTAGCTAGATCTGAACTGGCACAAACAGGTTTAATGCCTTTTGTTTTATAAAGGATGTTGCATCAAGCTGAGCTTGAGCACAGGTCTGTACTCCTGCTACTCAGGGGGCTGAGGCAGAAGGATCACAAAGTCAAGGCCTGCCTGGAAAACTCAGCAAGAGCCTGCCTCAAAACAGAAAGTGAAGAAAGGAAGGGTGGTGGTAGGAATGTAGCCAGGTGACAGAGTGCTTGCCTAGCATGCCTAAGTCCCTGGGGTCAATCCCTAGCACCGCAAAAACAAACAAGCAAACAAAACTTAAATGACTAAGTAAATGACACTACACCAGATTACAAGACGTTTCCAAGATGCTTACAGACTTGAGCTCCACTCAGAGCTGCAGTCCTTGGGAACCTCATGTAACAGACAGATGAAAAACACCCCTGTTTTGTCTGACCTCCCCCTAACCTGACGATATCATGAAGGGAGGATTCTGACTCTCCATAAAACATTACCAAGTCAAGTCCAAATTTTCTCTTTAAACACATGCCTTGCCATCTCCTACTTTGAATGTTCTTGGCAAAATTATATGGCATGGTATTCGTGTCTTGAAAACCTCATTTATCACTAGGGAAATACTTTATTTAAAATTTGTGAAGTTGAGAAAGCCCATAAGAATGCTTGAGAAATTACAATTTAAGAATCATTAGCATGTTAACTGAAGTTTGAAAGCATCGAGGCCTTACATATAAACCCCCACATCTGATGAGCCTGGAGGCAGATGCAACTTGAATTCCCATTTTTTGCATGGGAGGGCTGAAGATTCAGTCTAAGACATTTCTTGTCTTCATGATAGGTCTTGAGATACTGAAGAAGTAAACCAGGGTCTGGTGGAATTGTGATTTTAATTGATTACGATATGCTGTAAGCTACATCAGAATCACACAGAGGCCTCATGAAATGGCGCCCTCAAGGTACCACCATCCTTCAGATTTGCAGGTCTCGGCAGAACCTGAGGTCAGCATTTCAAACAGATTCTTACCTGATACTGATTTTGCCAATCCTGGGGCTACACTTTGAGGTGTAGGTATAGAATATATAAGTAGGATTTTTTTTTTTAAGAAAAAGTGACAACTTTTTATTTTGTAGAGGCCATATTCAAAGTTACAGATCCATAAACATTTAACAGTTCAGTGCTCCTTTTATAGGGATCCAGGAAAAACCCTTCAATTAAAAGGGGGAAAGACGTAATGTATGTTTATGAGCTTATTATATATAGATGTATACAAAGTGATGTTTTTCTTAGCATTGCATACCAACACCTAGAAATATATTCTAATTAACCCAAAAGGCACTGCTTTCAATGACTTAATACTATCTCTAGGTATACCTACAGCCTTCTTCCAGAGGCTCTATGAGCCCTTCTGAAAGAGAAGCTGGCGGGATGGGAAAGATGGCTCAGCAGTTACAAGTACTGGCTGTTCTTGCAGAAGACCTGGGTTCTATTCCTGGCACCCACCTGGTGGCTGACAACTGTCTGTAATTCCAATGCCAGGGGAATCCAACACCCTCTTCTGACCTCCACAGGCCTTGCACAACACAGGTGCACTTACATACATACAGGCAATACACTCATACACAAAAATAACAATAATAAATATTTCTAAACAGAAAGAGAAGCTGGGCTGTGGGCAGCTGAAATCAAGAAGCAATGGGAGACCTTAGTGATTGAACCAGGGGGAGGGGCATGCATACAGACAGTCACTGTAGAGAGCAGGCGTTGACTTGAAGTGAGGTGCCCCCTCACAGTTTTATGAGGATGCAGCTGTGTGACAAGTGGGGTACAAGTGGGGTGCAGAGATGGGGAACTTTAGAGAATCTTCGAAGTGAGAAAGTACCCATCCATAGGCTCACATGGTTTACCCTCAAGCCTGTGTACAAAAGGTGAATGATTTTTCTGTTCCTGCAGTGTAGCGTGACAGGTGTATAACTGAGTGTGCTCATGTTCAAAGGTTAGAACATGTGTCCTCAATGGCTTCTAAAGTTAGAACATGAGCTTACCTGGGACACTGATCACTGGGAGTCACATTTCCAGCCAGACTCAACTCTGGAACCAGCATGGGCTCCCCAGGCCTCCTCCTGCTGTGGGCCGCTCTCTCCCGCACCTGCTGCTCTATGAGGCCTGGGTCGGTGGGCTCTGGGGGGATGGGCTTCACAACATCCTCCTCAGGAAAGGGCTCCTCGGCCTCCTCCTCATCAGTGTGCTCTTCTGCTGCTTTCTTCTTTTTTTTCTTCTTGGCCCTCTGTTGGGTAAGAGACAATCTAACTTCAAAGAAGAATCTAGGACTTTCTGTCTGGAGCACGGTGCTCAGAGCAGACACCTCTGGATGCATACCAGCCCATCTCCATCAGCACGTCCTCAGTCCTTTCACACCAAACGGAGACAAGCACAGGGCAGACTTTCCAGGGCTGCTGAATTGAGGGAGCGCCTGCTCTGACAGCACAGGCATCAGTACCCTGCATTCAAAGTAGTGATGCATGGAAAACACACGTTTGACATATACATCATTGATTATAAACAGCACTACCACTGCACTGCGTATGCACAATGCTGGCTGTGGGGTCTTGTAGCTGGGTAGCTTTCTGGACAAACATTAACCAGTGAATTCCTTTTGTCCGCTAGTGAGAGGGCAAGAGAGAGGCAGAGAGAAAGCAGCAGGAGACCCCCACTAGCCTGCTGGTTTAGTACCCTCCTCCTGTCTCGGCAGCCACCCTCTCAGACCATCCCCCAGCAGCCCTGCTCCAGGTCAGGCAAAGGGTTACAAACCTGGGCTTTCCTCCAGGCCTTCCACTGCTGGTGTGAAGCTCTGTACTCTTCCATCTTCTTCTTGTAGTCTTCCGTGTGCTCCTCCAGCAATTCCTGTATCTCAGCTTGAATTTCTGCCTCGTACGCTTCCTCATCTGCTTTCTGGTCCACTTTTCCCCTTTAAATGAATTTATATCCTTAGTTATTTATTGGAATTAGGCATGAGGGAAATCATTTCGCAGACATTTATGCTGGGCTCAGCCTGTGCCAGGCTCTCCTAACAGTGTTGTACGCATTAACTCTCAACCCTGTGAAGCACATGCTGTCCTCACAGCGGAGGAGACTCTAGCACACAGTTGGGAGAGAGGAAGAGCTGCTGACCACTCAGCAAGAGGGCCGCTCGGGGTTAGGTGGCCACTCGGGTTGCTGAGACAGTGCATCTGAGTCCTCTCAGGAGGATCTTTGAAGTGATTTTAACAGTTACATAATGTTGCTGTTACTGAGTCCCTGAACCCACTTCAGATTTCTGATGAGTTTTTTCTGATAATTTTGTTGATATTCCATCAGTTCACCCTATCCAAATGAGTGTTTCCATAGTGGCTTCTGTAAACATGAAATGTCCTGCCAGAAAACATGCTGTGGCCATCTCAGCACCAGTTAAACAGATGTGAAGGTTCTCTGCTCATCTATCAGGCGTCTTTTCCTTGCTTATGACTGGGGTGACTCTTGGGTACAGCACAACACACAATCAGCCCCCACAGCCAGCCTGGCACTGTGGCATTGGTACAATGTATTGACTGACTGTGCTGATGTGGTCTGACTTTCTGGCTCCAGATGAAATTTCCTCTGTATGTTTTAGATAAATTTAATCAAGTTCTAGAGCTGAGACATGCTTGCTTAGTCTCATGTGTGACCAGTGGTTTAGTAGTGAACAAACCCCGGAGGCACACATACAGTCTTCCAGCTCTCTAGGGTAACCACCAGAGAAGTCACTTCAGATATACAAAGGAACCTGGAATTCATAAACATTACGGAGACTAGGCCCCCACTGTGTCTCTGAGATGTATAACCACTCACTGTTCTCATTGGTCAGAGGCATGAATGAACTAGGTGAAATCTGAATGATCATATTTTACAGAAAAGTTATGCTTTATCATAAAATTAATGGATAAATCAAGAATGTAAAAGGCACTGCAAAAAAATTTGGAAGATAGCTGTTTTTCAGACAAGAGATTTTATGACCATGATAAATTTTTAAAAAAATACAATGGTTAAGAGGAAGGAGGGAAGGAAGGAGAGAGGAAGGGAGGGAGAAGAGGGAGAAGAGAAGGAAAGAGAAGATTTAGGGCAAATATTTAGGTATTGCTTCAATGTACAAAATGATCACCTGAAATATGTAAGCAGAAACAATGAAATTCTGGGAGAAATGCATGTTTTTTGCAGGACGTAATGTTTGATTTTTTTTTACACTATTGGGGATTGAACCTAGGGCCTTGAACATGCTTGACAAGGGCTCTACCACTGAGCTACATCCCCAGCTTGAGCTTGTTTCTGACTAACCAACATTAACCGTACAGGTGTGAAGTGGTAGGTGCTCTATGTGGGACCAAGTATCCTGTGCAGCAAAGTCCCTGTCTCAAAGAGCACACAGACTTGTATTTGGCTCGAACAGATTATGAGTGTTTTTAATGTTTTTCATCATGACAGTGTCCAGCACAATTTACAATGATCTTTGCCACAAAAGTATCTGCCTTCACAGCAAATGTTAGATAACTGCCTCAGTTTGTTACCTTTTTTATAGATTGGTACAACATTTACCCAAAAGGAAGACCCAGAAAGGGCCCAACACCAGCTGCTGACTCTTCATGGTTGTGTGGTGATAAACCGCACTCCTAGTCACATAAGGAAGTCTAATGAATGAGGCAGGACACATGCCATCAAAGCACACTTTCTCCACACCACAAACAAGCATCAGTTGAAAAATGGATTGACGATGAGGTGGGAAAGACAGCCCTAAAGACTACAGGAGACAGTGTGGTAGAATATCTATACGACTTGGGAAGGATTTCTTAAGCAGTAGATTTAAAGTGCCAAACACTGAAGATTAATATACTGTGTTTTAAAATTGAGAATTTCTTCTCAGTGAGAGAGGGAGGGGGAGAAAGAAACAACTCCAGAGCACACAGAGGGAGAGGATTTCAGCAGCAGCAGTAAGTTCTCACATTCAGGATACCTGCTGAATGTGTATAAATTACAAACAAGGCATGCAAGGCCACTCAAAATTGACCAAATTCTTAAGCATCTTACAAAGCAGATACAGACAATTCATTTATGAAAAATAGACCCACCAGGGAAATGGGAATCACACCACATCAGCAGATGTTTGACTTTACCAGGTGACAGAGATCAAAGGACACTGGTAAAGGAATGAAGCAGCCCCACCCCTGGAGTGTGTTTTAAGTCAGTGTCAGGTGGGAAAAGTTTGCCCCCAAGATGCAACAATTTTACTTCCAGAGATATTTCTTGGAAATCTGGGCACAAGCACCCTAAAAGACAAGTCTAAAAGTGTGCGTAGAAGTAGAATCTACGACAGGTGAGCAAAAGAATCAACTCAAAAGTCCATCAACAGTCTAATGGAAAACTGAGCTATATTCATGCAGTGAAGTGTGTGTGTGTGTGTGTGTGTGTGTCTGTGTGTGTGTCTGTGTGTGTGGTACCCTAAAAGACAAGTCTAAAAGTGTGCGTAGACGTCTGGTGTCTTTCACTATTGCTCTCCACTTTAACTTTTGAGACAGCCAACAGTCTAATGGAAAACTGAGCTATATTCATGCAGTGAAGTGTGTGTGTGTGTGTGTGTGTGTGTCTGTGTGTGTGTCTGTGTGTGTGTGTGTGTGTGTGTGTAAGCCACAGCTAGACGTCTGGTGTCTTTCACTATTGCTCTCCACTTTAACTTTTGAGACAGCATCTTTTCCTGAACTTGTGTTCAACAATTGGCTAGACTGGACACCCAGTGAGTGGTGAGGATCCATCTGTCTCAGTACCCTCACCAGCCTCCCTTTGTGCTAAGATTAGACTCAACCATGCCTGGCTTTTTTTTCCATGGGTGCTGGAGATCTGAACTCAGGTCCTTATGATTCTGTGGCAAGCACTTTGCTAACCAAGCCATTTCCTCACCTCCTATAATAAAGTTTTATGAAACAAAGAAAATTAGGGGCTGGAGAGAGGCTCAGAAGTAAGGGCACTGGCTGCTATTGCAGAGGACCCTGGTTCAGTTTCCAGCACTCACATGACAGCTAACAACTCTTTGTAACTCCAGTTTCAGGGGATCTGACGCCCTCTTCTGGCTTCAATGGGCACTGCACACATTGTGCACTCACATGCAGGGAAAGAACTCATACACACAAATTATAAATAAAGAAAACTACAGGCACATACTGCCAATCACATAAATAAATATGACAAAGTACTAAAGCAAGAAACAAAGGTGTATTCACACTTTGGGTCTATAAAAGTCAAATAGAAGCAATACTGAACTATGTATTCTTAGGGATTATACATAGTAGCAAAAGCATGAGGCCAGGAAATGATCACAGTAGTCCAGACAGTTGTTACTGTTGCTGGAGAAAGGAGTGGGAGCTGTCAGGTGCCGGCAGTGCTCTATTTCCCGGCATTGGAGGCAGTTACAAGGTGTAGCCGGAAGGCTCCTGTAAAGCTGGAGCTGATCCAGGGTGAGCATCAGCGAAGCAGAGCACACTGGGAAAAAAGGGTGGAGCCACCACCATATTGGGCATGGGTAAACGCCCAGCGAGAGAAGATAGGGGTAGTGCGTGCATTTCAAATATGGGAAAGGAAAAGCCTATAAGAAACTCTGTTTTCATAAGTCACCCCCTCCCAAATGACATATAAACTATGCAAAATCCGAATAGGATATTTTATGTTGGTTCCTCAATCTGTGTCAGGACCAGGAGACCCTTTGTGGGCAGTGGGTCTCCCAGCAAAAAGGAGAATTTAGTGAAACGCAAGGTTACTGTCATTTAATGTTAGTTTTGAAACTATATCTGTGTCTTACACATTTTTCTTAATGCATGATTATCTTGATAAGCCAATATTTGAAAAGACTTCTTACTTTCTCAAGACAAGTTTCAGGGGTGTATTTGTAAACCTCTGGAACTCACGAAGGGATTTCATCTCTTTCCAAACTTTTAGAAGAGTCTTAAGCAGTGTTCGATCTTTTTCTTGTTCTGTGTCGCGCAGTTTTCTTGTTTGCCTACAAGATATAATAATCCATGAGTATACATTAGGAAGTTCTTCAGGTGTGTATATTTACAAAAATAAAATGCTACATGATTGTATATTGAAGTGTATGCTCCAGACCCCACTCAGCTATACAAGGATGCTCTGCTCCCTAGTCAACTTACCATCGCCTTTCACTCTTCCTCAACGCTCATCACAGTTTCTAATTAAGTGTTCTTTGGTGATTCTTTGCTGTTTTTGAGACAGGGTCTCACTATATAGCCCTGACCAGCTTGGAAATCACTATGTAGACCAGGCTGCCTTTGAATTCACAAAGATAGCTTGCTTGTGCCTCCTGATTGCTGGGATTAAAGGCCTGTGACCCACACTCAGGGCAATGCTTTTGTTTCTCTTTTGTTTTTCCTTGTCCTATAGTATCTTTTTCCTTGGTAATAGTCTTCAGCATTTCGGGAAACTGTTTTGTTAGAAACAGCAAATGAAAGTAAAGAAAAGGAAGGCAACAGGATGAGATCCCTGTTTGGGGAGTTTTATTTGATTTATTCTGTTAGGTGAATCTGATTTTGATAAACTAAATGATCTCTTAAAATTCTTACTCAGATTATGCAGGTTTAAACAAAACAGCTGCCTTTGTAATTATGAAAGAGGGGGCCTAGCAAAGCATTTATGTATTAAGAATGCTGGTGACCGACCCCATTATCAGCGGAACACTGAGGCCTTTCTGCGTTAACACAAATCACGAGTTCTGCACAAAGGAGATGACATAATGTTGCATGCTTTGGAGAATTTTCAGTGCTAATGAGTTGGTAACAACTTTGGCCAGAGCTGAAGAGGCATCATTTGAAAACACTGTTCTCTTTTTTTTTTTTTTTTCCAATTATTTAACATTTGAGGATCCTCCGATAGATTGTGTTAGGCTCTCCACAAATGGTAGCCAAATTCAGATCCCAAATGTACTTGAATATGCCATAGTCAGCTAGTGGACTGATCTTTAAACAGGTGCCATGTGCCATTCCAGGGATGTGTCTAGAAAAGAAGCAGTGTCTCTATCCCTAGGAAGTTTGTGGTTTAGCTCAGTAGACCAACACAGACACGTAAGTGATGATGATGTAGGACATATACATTGTGTTAGGCTCTCTTCACAAATGGTAGCCAAATTCAGATCCCAAATGTACTTGAATATGCCAGTCAGCTAGTGGACTGATCTTTAAACAGGTGCCATGTGCCATTCCAGAGATGTGTCTAGAAAAGAAGCAGTGTCTCTATCCCTAGGAAGTTTGTAGTTTAGCTCAGTAGACCAACACAGACACGTAAGTGATGATGATGTAGGACATGGGATCTGCCTAAGAGAGCACTATGTGAAAATCAAGGGGAATGGGACAGACTTTAGCATCCTCTGGATGTAGGAAGGCTGGAGCCTGAGGTTATACTTGGGCTGTAGAGACAGTATAGAGAAGCAAGTGGGACGGGGGTGTCTGGCTTTCTAACTGTTCAACAGGAGGCAGTGGAAAAGGAAGCTGGCAAAGAGGATAGCCACCTAATGTTGGGAAGCCTCTCTGATGTCCTCAGAAAGCAAGAGTGGCATCCCAGAACGAGGTGCCTGCTCCTTGAGGAGCATCCAAGCATGGTGGTCAGGAGCGTGGTTGTTGAACCAGAACACCCAGGTGTGAATCCAGGCTCTGGCATCTACTAGCTAGCCATGGTGCTCTATGCTCATCTGTACAACGGCCATGCTAACAGAACCCACCTCGCAGGGCTGCCAGTGGAGTAAGTTAACACACAGTAGGTATGCATGGAACTTAAGCTGACTACTGGCAAACAGAGGTCGTCTGCCATTGTTGGGTGGGCTTCCTTCCTTTATTCCTTTATCTGCTACCTCCCCTGTCTCATCTTTAAAAACTAAAATATCAAATTAGTTTACCAAGTTACATAACACCTTTAGGAAAAAAAATTTTTTTCTACTTCCGTTTTCAGTTTTCAATAATTTTTGTTTCTCAGAAACACTGAAAACTCTTAGCTAGCAAAAAA